CAACGTAGCTGTAATTTATGCTTTGCTTACATGTTCGCATAACTTCAAAGTTTACTGACATTTACCTACCTTGTTTACCTGGCTCAAGTGGTGGCTCTGGGGTTGTTGTGTGAGCCACTACTTGAGAATTGTCATATTTTTTAAGAAAATGTTTTCTTATGTCCATCTTCAAAAACTCTAGAGTCCGTCTGACAGTTTATTTTAAACCTTGTCACAGCTCACAGGATAGGTACCTGTCAGCCAATAAGACAGATGTTTATTTCCATTCAACTCTCTGGTTGGTCTGGTGTCTTGCCTCTGTTGCATTCACTGAACACGGGAAATTACAATCCTGCCGTCCTCTCTTGTGTCATGATGAGGTTCAGGTAAAGCACGGTTAATGTATATTTATTAATTCAATAATATAATACATGACTTTGAGAGTAGGCAATCTAGGCATATTAACACAATTAATTAAACATACTTATCACGGCGACGGTGTACTGAGATTTATTTATTTTTTAAATTATTTTTTTTTTTTTGATATGTTTTGCTAGGGGGCCCCTTAGTGGCTGCGGGGCCCTAAGCGGCCGCTTATGTCGCTTAATGGGTCGGGCCGGCTCTGAGGGTGAGGCAGATAGTCACAGAAAGCAGAACAAGAATCGACAACTATACCCTCTGCTCACTCCTTTCCTGAAAAATACAGGTCCAGCACACACATATACAATACTATCCCTTAAAATCAATACAATTATTTCAAAATCAAATTTGTGAGTCATATGGTTATTAAGTGCAACGTTTTGTGATGAAAGGTTATTCGAGGTAATTTGCGTAGGGAATACTGCTAATCCTGTTATATTTTACATGGATACTTTAATAAAATCATTTGTGTGTATCTGTACCTTTTTGTGACCTTCCGCCATTTTTTTCTATTCCATCATCCCCAAATGAACATTTTCATGCATTCAACATGTTTTGATTGCATAATCAATCATCGAAGCATCTTCTAGTACTACTCCTAGTACTAGACTCCTGGTACTAGGATGGGTTAAAAGCAGAGAACACATTTCACTGTGTGTGCTGTGTGCTCTGCATGTGTGACAATTAAAGAGGGTTTCATCCCTCCCAATTCTATTCTATTTTTAAAAAAAAAAAGAAGAAAAACTTTGGAACTGCTGATATGAACATGAAATACTTTGTGATGGAATCTAAAACAAGCAGCATATCAGGGTTGTATGTTGTCATTCAAATGTAAAAGTCAAGCTCACTAGTGACCTTTGACCTCACCTCTGACACTAAGGCGTCCATGTAGCGGTCCGTCAACAGCCACCAGGTACACTGCATTGATGTTGTCGTTGTCTACTATCTGCAGCTCGTCCCAGGTGACCGGTCTGGACTGACCCTCCAGCAGGTTCAAACCTGAGACATATATGACACCATCATAAATCTGAGGGCCTTTAAAGTTTAGCTTAAACATTATCAGACAAATTGTTTTTTACGGATCAATCAATGTTAATCGATTTAAATTAGTAGAACTTTAGTACCCATGTTCCAGGAGACTCTGGGTGCGTTTGTTTCAGCCCCCCTGATGGAAATATGGACCACGAAGGGCGGGCTGGTGATGTAGGACCCGTCTATTACATGAAATTCCACCTTACACAAAATCGATAAACACAATATTACAAGATATAAGAGTAGAAATGTAATATTGAATGAAAAACTGAGTTAAACATGTAATATCCTCATGTTGTGACTTATAGTAAAACGTAAAATATTTAGCTAAAATGTACTTGAGTTCTGTTGATGAAAAATAGATGGTAAGAGTTAATTATTTTGTATTTTAATCCTCCAGTTGTGTAATCCAAGTGAAAATAACTGGTAAAACAATATTTTCAACACTTCTCTTTTCCATATATTAAGTCAGCCTTTATCCTTCATCATAATACCCTCCAGTACCTCGTGGTTCCTGCGTTGTGATTGGCTGCTGTTGGGCGGCTGGTATGCAACCTTCATCTCGTGTAGGTCCAGCCAGGTGAAGGACGTGACAGGCTTTGTATGGTCATCCATATGGGTGACATAGCCCTCGGCGGGGGGGGTGGTTATGTTAAAGACCAGCCTCTCCTGCGGGGTCTCAGGATCTTTAGCATCCAGAGAGGCCGTGGTGAGCGGGGTGAGGATGAATTGGTCCACTTCCAGGATGAATGAGGCCATGAAGACGGCTTGAGGTGGCTGGTTCTGCTTGGCACCGTGGATCAGAACTGGTAACCACACCGATTCTGCCTGGGAGCGGGTTACAGGGACGTGAAGGGAAAGTAAAAATAAAGTTGGAGCATCAGAACTTTTCCTTTTACCCCCATGTATATGTTTCAACACATGTGTATCACATAGAGATTGACACATACTGCCACACCTCTCGCTGCTATATTCAGTGTTGAAGAGAAGGTAAGAATAGACAATCAGATGTGTTAAAAACGTGAAGAAAAAAGTTAAAGACTGTTAAGGACAGGATTTTTTTTTGGAACATTTAGAATTTTTGAAGCCGTTCTAACCCTTGAAAACCCTTTGCTCCACATCCTGCTCCACACTCAGAGCTGAGAACATGAAAGTGGGATATCGCCTTCTTTCTGCCAAAGTCTTCTTCACGTCTCAGACGTTAATCTGGCCTGAAAACTTCCCACTTGGATATGACTGAAGCTGCAGTTAAGGGAAGTGAATTCTGGATAGGCATAACATAAATATTAATGTCTGGATGTTGCCCGTACCTCCAGCAGAGCCCTGCTCCCCTTCTCCCTCAGCTCCACCCTGATGGGGATGTAGTCGATCTCTGGTGACGGAGGGCTGAGGTGCTGGTACTTCAGGCCGGAGCTCAGGAAGTCCTGACAGCTTGTTTTCAGAAAACCAACCTCCTTGGTGTCATGGAGACAGGGTTGGTTTCCCTGACAGAGTGAAGCTGTCTCTCTGCCTGGAGGAGGACATAACACACACACACATAATACATTACGTTTATAAGTTCATAAAATATTTGTTATATTATGATCGATATATAATATAATATTTTTTAAAGATATTTCTTAATTTACTTTTATTTGTTTTGTTTGACTATTCTCTATTTTATACTTACATCTTAAAATTAATTTGTGTAATTTTTACCGTTTAATTTTTCCTTTAACTTTCAGATTTTTATATTTTGTTATATTCTTCTCATTTTAAATCTTTGTTTGCTGTGGTTGTTGTAATGTAATGCAACATGATGATAAATACGTTTTGTGTTTGTTTATTATTTCAGAGAATACTCTAGACTTTAGCTGGCATCTCATTCATTACAAGAGAGTTGACTGCTAACGGCTGAAGCATAAGTGGAGTTGCTATGGTTACAGTGGTTAATTTATTTGAACATAGCAGTGTTAGAGGATATCTGTCAGCCAATCAGAAACAAATATCTTTAGCTCTAAAAGCCATTCATTAAAAACCAAACCTTGAACCCGTTCTGTATCTGTCCAGATGTGACGTACCTTTCCTCTGGGTGGAGTCCTCCTTCCTCACCAGCTGACCCAGAGTTGGGGTGCTGGTGTCGCTCATCAGCCTGACGGTGCACACCAAGTCTGCAGAGCTCCGGATGTTTAAGACAGACCCATCGATGGAGTTGGATAAACCGTAGAACACAGGAACCACCAGCGGAGTGCAACCGAGCTCCACAACACCAGATCCAGAGTCTGCCACCTGCACCGTCAGAACCACGGTCTCCACCAGCGTGTCAGAGGACGTGAACCTTCAGACAAACAACAGTGTGTGAGAAGGGCATCTTAAGGGTTAGTTTAAAAAAGTGATATTCCAAACACAGTTTGTCCACAACATAAAATACAGTTAAAAGTAAATAAATCCAAATTCATCAATCAAAGCCACGTTTGAAGTCTACACCATGCTGGCAGGATCTGTGATCTGGTGGTCACAAGATAGATTTTCTGAGGCACCTTTTTAATGTACTTTGGTACATGAGCAGAAGCTTATGTGCACATTTCCATCTTTGCTTTTACTATGAAAACAAGACCAGGTAAGTTATACAAATGATGACATTATTATTATTATGAATATTATCTTTGATTATCTTATATGAGATGAAGGTGTTTTAATGACCCCTATGTTTTTGTTGAACTAGCTTAAGTGAGTTTGGCTCACTGACCTGTAGATTCTCAGCATCACTGTGTCCTGGTCCAGTAGAGGACTTCCATTGTGGCAGTACTTCACCTCGTCCTCTAGAAAGCTGCAGTCAAACACCTGCATGAACACAAACGACTGTAATACCACTGTACTGCTTCTCTGAATGTATAACCCTGCAGCAGGTGTGGCCTCACCTGTGGCGTCAGCTTCCCCACCCTCTGAGTGATTGGTTCGTTCATCACCACCTCCACCTTACAGTCTGCAGTCGGACCAACATTGATCCTCAGCTCCATCTCTGTGATAAACACTGATCGACCTCTGGTGACCTTCACGCCCGAGTTCACCACGACCAGAGTCCCGCTGCAGATGGCCGTCACCGCCAGCAGCAATAGCGTGCGGACAGCAGCAGCCATTTTGGTCGACTGTGAAAAGTTGTATTCTGAAGAAAAATGAGCTGACAGATTTCCATTCAGTCTTTGACACACATCCTCTTCTTTTGTTAATGTCAATTCAACCTGCAAAGACAGGTAAAATGCCTTCAGAAACATCAACCACCAATCCAGGGGGAAATTATCAATCCACTTAATTTATCAGTGGCGGATCTATGGGCAGCTGCCCCCCCCACTGTAGAACCTTGCCCCCCGCCCCAAGCTTCCCCTTGGAGCATTTCCCCTTCCACTAGTTTTGTTTTTACTTAGGACGAGAGCTTGAAACAAAATATGAATAAAACGCTGCCGTTTGAATCGATAGCGTTTAACAGACGGGCGCTGTTTGGGGCGTTACGTTACAAAATACTACACAGACAGCGCTAGCTGGGAGATCGATCACTTTATTTGCTAAACTATGCGGTATAGCTACTATCAAATCCACGTAAATTACACATCACAGCAATGAGGCTGATAAATGAAACCAGGATACATCCTTTACCGTCAAACTGGATCTAAACACAGCTGCCTGTGCGTTTGATCAATACTTTCTGATTTTATATTTATTATAGGCTATGCTACTTATCAGCTACATGGCCCTAACGTGTAAAGTTATACAAGAATTTGTACCAGTGCTTTTCACAAGTAGACTCTTGAAGGCTAGAGTAGCTGGAGTGAGTCAACAACAACAAAAAGACATATCTGAGAAGAGATCAGGACGAACAGAAAGAGGAAAAGGAAAAGAGAGATGAAGAGACCAGGAGGGTCCGAGCAGGAGGAAGAGGAGGAGATGAAGAGACCAGGAGGGTCAGAGCAGGAGGAAGAGGAGGAGATGAAGACATTAGTGAAGGAG